GAACCCCGGCGTGTCGATGACCGTCAGCTTCATGCGGACGCCCTTCTCCTCGATATCTGCACAGAATCACAGCCCCCGCCGAGCTCAGCGGGGGACTCAGGGCCCTCACACACACCCGGGCCAGGCTGCCGGCCCCACCCGGCCCCAGAGAGGCCCCGCTGGGGCACCGGGGTGGCCAGCAATGATGTCAGGGAGATGACAGCCTGCAGCAGTGAAGTCAGGTAGGCCTCACGACACTTGTCCTGGGTGCCCCCTGCCCATGATTTTTGGCGGAAAAGTCAGCTGTCTCCAGGGAGCTCAGTCTGACCAGGGCCTACAGGGGTCCTGGCGAGCATCCCTGAACCCTCACCCCGAGTCTCAACATGCCCAAAGGTCTCCCACAAGTCCCCCAGCTCAGGGGACCTGGGTTGCCTGACTTGGTGCCCACCCGCCCCCCCCGCCCCCCGCCCCCACCCCGCCCAGCACTCACTGGTGTGACTGGACCCCCCCCCCCGCCCCCACCCGGCGCTCACCGTGTGTGATGGACTTGATCTCAATAGTCTTAGGGATGCGCTCCTCCGAGGTGGGCTGCACCGACTTCCGGCTGATCTTAGATTTGAAGAGGGTATTGATCAAGGTGGACTTTCCCAAGCCGCTCTGCCCTGGGGAGAGAACGGGGTCGGTCAGCCGGGCCTTCCAGAGAGGGCAGTTCACGGGCCCGCAATGCAGCGATGCCTCCGAGGGGCTCGGGGTCGGGGTCGGGGGGAGGCCGGGAGGCCGGGTGGTGGCCGAGCTCTCGTGGTGTGTTGTGGTAGAGGACACGGATCCCTCGTCTGCTGGCCACAGAGGTTGTGAAACTGCTCCAGACAGGGTCCTGGGGTGCCGGGGAGGGGTCAAGATGCAGAACAATGTGAGGGAGGCAGAATGGGGGGCTGGACCCCTGTGCAGATCTGCTCTTGGCTGGCAGACACACTGAGATCCATGTGAGGTTTGAAGGGAAAGCCCTACAGAGACCCCCACCCTGGGACCATCCAGAGGCCGAACCTGCTCTCCCACTGGCCCCTCCTGGCCCCTTGGGGTCAGATTACCCCATCTTACGGATGAGGAAACTGAGGCTGACAGAAGTCCCAGGGAAGTCACACAGCTTAGTGGGGGCAACGTGGGGATCCCACCCTGGTCTGTGGAGCCCCAAACAGGCGCCCTTCCATCCCAGCCGCATCTGCGGTGGGGACACTGCTGTGGGAGGGAGGGAGGGGGCACAGAACCGACTGACCCCATCGTGCCCTCTCTGAACCTCATTTCTGTCGGTAAAATGGGGTGCCCCCTTCACGAGGTTCCTGCGAGGACTGAACAGGACCTGAGGATCTCTGAGAACAAGGGCTGCCCACTGTGCCCCCAGACGGCCCCCACCCCTGGGCTGACCTTCCCCCCACCGGCCTCCAAGGACCTCCAGCCGGGCCTGCTGAGTTGGGGGGTCAGCACCCCAGCGCTCGAGCCGTAGCGAGGGGGACGCTTCAGCAGAAGCTAAAGCAGAAGGTGGAGGCCTCTGGGCAGAGCACCCCTGCCCGGCCCGGGGCTGAGCCTCCCCAAGCTGTCTCAGGGGATCTTAATGTGACGGGCAGAGGCCCCTGGGAGGAGCTGATGGAGGGCAGGACCCCCCGGCGGGCACACATGTGCACACACAACGCCACTCGCAATCTGTCCTGCGGGCCAGGTCTGTCCCCTTCACTTTTTAAGAGAAATCTGGGCCCGGAGCGTGTGTGGCCGGCCCTGCACGGCTCCCTGCGTGGTGGGGGCGGGGGACTCACCGACCACCATGATGTTGAACTCGAAGCCCTGCTTCATGGCCTTCCTGCGCATCTGCTCCAGGATGGAGTCGATCCCCACATAGCCGAAGTCCACCGGGGCCTTCTCGGTCCGCGGCGCGGGCGCCTGCTTGAGCCCCACATCTCTGGGGGTGTCAGCCATGTCGCCAATGCTGCCGGGAGCTGCCTCGGTGGCTGCAGACAGGGAAGCAGGTGCATCAGAGGGTGCCGGGCGTCTGCTAAGCCCCCACGTCTTCAGGTAGGGAAACTGCGGCTCGGTTGCCCAAGACATCCCAGCCCCGTGTCCCGGGCTGTCCTGCTGGGACAGAGCCTCACTCCAGACTCAGATCACCACCCCTGCCACCACCAGGCCCTTGGGGTCAAATAGCCAGTGTTGTCCCCACAAGCCAGGACAGAGGAGGACAGCCTTCTGAAGGAAGGACAGAAGGAGCCCACGTCCCAGGGCTCAGTCCCAGGGACCTGCCCATAGCCCTGGGGCGGCAGGAGGGCTGGGGGGTGGGGGCGTTCCACGCTCCTCTGGGCCCAGCTTTTCCTGAGAGATGGCAGGAAGGAGCGGGCCCCTGGGCAGCACTGCCTCTGCCTCCCACGATGGACCAGATCCAGGGGGCCGTCTTCTCTCTGGGGACCCAGCACCTGCGGGCCCCACGCCCACAGGCCGGGAGGAGGTTTTGCTCTCAGGTCTGCGGAGGGGCAGATGGGGTTGAGCTGCTCAAAATAACTCAAGCTTTCTGTCTGCTTGGAACCTTCCTCCTTTCCTCCCCTGCTGCCCTCAAGAGTCCACATGCCCCCGTCGGATGCCTGGGGGGTGGGGGACACCCAGAAGGCGGACAGCGGGGACCTGAGGTGCACCAGCCCAGCAGGGCCGGTCAGGGCGCTCAGGACGGTGCGGGTTCCCCACAAGGGTCCGGCTGGAGCACATCGGCCATGTCCCAGGGAGCCCCAGACGCGACACCCGCCCAGATCGCGCTTCCCTCCGCTGGCCTCCCAGCTCCCCTTTCCTGCCCCTGCGGGTCCAGGCTCTTCCCACCCCCTCCATCCACTAAGAAGGATTTCGATTTCGGCTCCATCCTACCTCCCAGGGAGGATCACAGTCTCTCCTCCTGGGGCGTCCTGAGCTCAAGGGAAGGGACCACACAGCACGTCCTGACGCCTCCCCGCTCCCCGGCCCCTCAGCCCCTCCTGCCAGCCCCTCACGCCAGCCCTCGGGGAGGGGCTGGTGGTTCCCTGGGCGCCGTGCTCCGCACGAGGGCCCAGGAGGCCAGGGTGGGCAAGTAGCCTGCCCAACCCCTCCTGCCCCTGCCCCAGGAAGCAGCAGGGCACAGGTCGCCGGGCCAGAAGGTCACCGCAGGGCTGTCAGATCAGCTGTGGTCCTGGGGAAGTAACAGGACTCTACCTGGGCCCCAGGTGACACCTCTGCAGCCACGTCTGTCTTCAGGGAAGCTGGGATCAGGACCAGCATCCTCCCCTCCCACACCCAGGCTCAGGCCAGGACCAGAGCACAGATGGCAGGGACCATGAGCTCACATATCCCAGAAACTTGGGGGCGGCGGTTTATCCTCAAGTCGGCCACTAACTTCCCCATCTCCTCAGCCTTCACAAAGCACAGCCATTCCCACTTGAGAGAGTGAGGCATCGAGCAAAGAAGATAATGCATATGAAAACGCCAGGGGTTGCCAGGGGTCCCCACATCTCTCCTAAGAAAAACAGGCTGATACTTGGGGCCTCGGGTCCACCGTACCTCCCCACCCCCACCCCAGGCTGGGAAGAGACAAAGGGCCCAGGAGGCAGGGACCCCCAGTCAACCAACGTATGGGGGCTCCTCCCCATCCCTTTTCAGAAACACTCTCCCCGAGGCTCCAGCATCTTTAAATAAACAAAGACCAGAGCTGCATCTGGCCTTAACGTGTGGCTTCAAGGCTGCTTCCTGGAGACAGACAAGGGGCCTTGTCTTTCGGGGCAAGCAGTTCAGCCCTGCCCCACGTGACCGAAAATTGCTTCCATCTGTCTGCGGGTCTGGGAGCCGTTCTGCCCAGGGCTGGGCCAGCCCCCGCCCCACCCCCACATCTCCCTCCACCCCTCCCCCCGCTCCTGGAGCAGCCTGGGGTGGGGGTGGGGGTGGGGGGCCGCCCGCTGAACCCCCTCATTTCCCTCCACAGGCCCTGGGAGCAGTGGGTCGAGGGAGGCCCCGGCCGGCCCCTCCACAGGCACCAACATCCACCGCAGAAACTGGAACCAAAGCAAACATCCTGCCCACCAGGGCCCCGCTTGAGAAATAATCATAAAAACCTGACAAGCGCCTTCCCTCCTGCTGAGGGAAGAGCCTGGCTTTCTGCACGGGTGAGGGTCCATTCCTGCAAGGACCCCCTCTGGGGGGCCCCCCGGGTCAGCAGCCTCAACTCCGCCCACCCGGATGGCCTGCAGGCAAACTGGCCCGAAGACACTTTCTGTGAACCCCTGCAGGACCCCCGGGGGCCCCGGACAGCTGGAAGGGACGGTGGAGACCAGCAACTCCAGCACTGTTCAGTACAGCAGCCACGTGTGACTTAAAAAAATGTGGGCCAGTATTAATTCTAATATTACACATTACATAACACAGAATGTACCATCTTAATCCACTTTTAAGCATGCAGTTCAGTTGCATCAAGTACATTCACGCTTTTGTGCAATCAGTCTCCACAGCTCATCTCGCAAACCCGCAACTGTCCCCAGCAAGCACTAGCTCCCCTCTCCCCCATTCCACTTTCTGTCTCTACGAATTTAACTACCCTGGGCACCCAGTATGGATGGGATCATCAGTAGTTGTCCTTTTGTGACTGGCTTGCTTCACTGAGCATCATGCCGTCAAGGTTCAGCCATGTAGCGTGTGTCAGCGGTCCCTTCTTTTTCAAGGCTGAGTAATATTCCAGAACGTGGCGGGACCATATTTTGCTTATCCATTCACCCGTCGATGGACACTTGGGTTGCTTCCGTGTTTTAACTCTTGTGAACAGTGCTGCTGTGAGTATGGGTGTACAAATACCTCCTTCAGACCCTGCCTTCATCTCCTTTGGGTACAAACCCAGAAGTGGGACTGCTGGCTCGAGCGGTAGTGGTATTTTTAATTTTCGAGGAACCATCAGCTGTTTTCCCATGTGACTTTTGAGCACTTGAAATGTAGTTAGTCCCACTAAGGAACTGAATTTTTTCCTTTATTGAATTTCAGTTTAAAGAGCTACACATGGCAAATGTCAATGAGACTGGACAGCAGAGAATCCTGGTCCAGCTGACTTGTTTTACAAACGGGGAGACTGATTTGTTTCAGAAATGCACTGGAAGCGGTCTGGCCAACAAGAGACCGTCACCGAATGTAATCAACCCTGTGAGTTCACATGGACATCTGTGATACTTGATTAATATCCGTGTGCCCCTCCCCAGAGACCGTGAGCTCCAGTGAGGATGGCAAGGACATGTATGGATCCCACTGGGCCCCCAGAGCCCACCAGGGACACTCAACGAATAGTAGTGAAGGCGTGGGGTCTTGGGGGGCTCCCCTTGGACAGGGGGTCCAATCCATCTTCCCTAGTGACCTTTGCCTGCGGCTGGGGCCTCCCTCTCTTTCCCATCTGTCACCTCCATCCCCAAAAAAGAACACAATCCAATGCTATTAATAGGAAAGGGACGTTCTTAACAGAAAAATTAAGAGGTTTCACATTTACATCCAAGATGACTCTCACTACCTCCTTGTCAGGCGAACAGAGCAAGAGGGAGCCCCACTCTTTAGAAGCGAAAAACGTGGCTCAGAGAAGTTAAGTAACTTATCCAAGGTCACACAGCAGCCCCTGCTGCTACTTTTCACTGCTCCTATTTGTGAATCCCTTGGGAAAAGGGGATACAAGGACGGGGTGCCATACCCCCTCCTTCCCAGAGTCACACCCTGAGGAGGGAGTGCTAGGTCTGCTGTGGGGGTGTGACCCCTGGGGCAGCCTCACCCCTCCTCTACCTGGTCAGCCACTCTCTCCTCAGGCTCCCAGGCCCAGGTGACATTGCTGCCCAGCACCCCACCACCCTCCTCTGGGGAAGGATAGCCCAGGTGACCACACAGGCTGGGGGTGATCTCACACACTGGTTTCTGCCTTCCTTCCAGCCTAATCATTTTCTTTACTGGGGACACGACACACAATCTTGACCATTCTGATCATGTTACGTGATCGATTCGGTGTCATTAAGAACAGTCACAACGGTATGGAACCATCACCACTGTCCGTCTCCAGATGTTCTCATCGTCCTAAACAGGAGCTCCGTGCGCGTTAAGCACGAATCCCCCCCACCCCGCCCCCAAAGCCTCTGCTCTGCCCGCCGCCTCTGCGAGCGTGCTGACCCCAGGGGCCTCACGCACGTGGGGTCCTGTGTCCGGCTTCTTTCACTGAGCAGCACGTCCTCCAGGTCCATCCTTGTCGCAGCCTGTGTAACAACTTTAGTCCTTTTTATGTCTGAAACATATTTCCTTGTTTATCCATCTATCAATGGACACTTAAGTGGTTTCCACCTTTTGACTATTATGAATAATGCTACTCTGAACACGGGTGTAAACTTGTCTGTCTGAGTTCCTGCTTTCAATTTTTCTGGGTATCCAGCCTAATTAGTAATAGAACCCAGCTGATTCTCGGAAAGGCTGGACAACAGGTGACACGGCCATCCTGTCAAAGCTCACGTGCAGCTCCCCGCTGCGGGCTTCACGGGTGGGGACCCCCTGGTGGGTTCTGGTCCTGGATCCTCCGTCCTGCCCTGCACTCCCCACCCCTACCCTGAAAGCTCCTCGAACGGGAGGCCGCAGCTTGCTCAGCGCTACCCTCAACTCTCCGCACAAAGTAGCCGCTCAAGAAATATCTCAAAAGGTCCACCAACAGAGGAAAGCAGTGAAGCCCTGACACCCACACTACAACACAGACGAACCCTGAAAACATCACACTCAACAAAATAAGCCAGATGTGAAAGGCCATGTATGGCATGAGCCATTTAAATGAAGCGTCCAGAATTGGCAGTCCACAGAGACGGCACATCGGTGGCTGTCAGGGGCTGGGCCGTCACGCGTATGGGGTTTCCTTCTGGGTAAAAACGTTCCGGAACTGGATAAAGATGACGGCTGCAGAATGTTGTGAATAAGCGTCACCGACACACACTCAAAATGGACGACT